GCAAGAATTAATCAACTGACTGCTCTGCTAGAGACAATATGTTCTGCCACAATAGTCACCAAGTAGAAATATTGCAGCGCCTACAACCTGGCATGTAAAAAAAAAACAAGGACAGCTACAAGAAGGTGTTTTGAACCCAATGCAGCCACTTCAAATGCTTGCTGACACTGTTCCATCTTTCTAATGCTTTGGCAATCTTGCATCGACAACCTAGGCTAGTTCAATATTATTTTCTAACAACCATACTACCAACAACCAGAACATACACTGTATTTAGGAATGATGAATGAAGGCTGTTCTGCATGCAAAACTGGACCAGTCAACAAAAATTCTAGGATGTGTTCACCCCTTAAGGGGGTTAGCAGAAAGATATGGTATCAGAGGCTGGGCAGCACCGAGAATGCAAAAAACGTCCAATATTTTATTGAGTTAACTCATTTCTAACGATGCTCCGTCAGAGATTTCCCCAAACAAATATTTTCACTGAAGGGGAAACTCTCTGGTAAGCTACCTATTTTCTTTGCTTGGCAGAGGCACAATCTGCTTTCAACAAATTGAAGCAATCATATATATTGGTAAGCCCAACCTGATGCACCCAGATCCCACCAAATCCTTTTTTGTCAAAGCATTTGGTGGGGAGCTGGAGTCTCTCTCAGCAGTGAGGCACTGAAAATCAAGTCCATTTCTGCCCGTTCTGACACCAGCTGAGTGAAATGACATTTGGGATAAAGGAGCTTCAGGCCATCAAAACTATATTCAAAGACTGGTGCCACCACCTGGAAGGCATAAGGTTACAGTATTTATAGACCAAAATTTGGAAGATCGTCGTGTTGCTTATAGCCTTTACCAGTGACAAATTTGATGTTCACTCTTGCCAAGGTTCGATTTTAAACTGATATGCTGGCCAGATTCTAGAAACAGGTAAGTTGATGCCCTCTTCTACAAGAACAAATATTTGGGGCCAGGTCTTGAAATTTAGTCAGTGGTCCTAGGAGCCTCCAGATATGCCAACAGGATAGTGCAAGTGATCTGTTGCTGCTCATTTCTTTCCCCAAGATCCAGTCATGACCCAGAACATGTCTATCCTGACCACTGCTGACAACCAGCCAAACCTTGAGCTTCAGATCTAGGAGGTGTTAACTTACTATATGGGATGGGCCTATGCCCCTGGAGGCAAAGTTTGTTTAGAAATACTACAATTCCCACAGCTCCCATCTAGCTGCCTATTCTGGTCATTTTAAAATACTTGCTTATTTCTCACAATTACTAGCGGCCACATATGCAACCCATGATCTATCTGTCAAATTCTGCGACGTATCTGTGCAAGTCAAGACGCATGCCATGTATAACATGTCAAACTGTTTGGACTCTTCCTGACCTTACAAATCTAACCCTGGCCTTTATAGATTTAAGTGAGTTTTACGGACCTTATTTTGGAGCTATCAATCATTCTCATCAGCATAGGCAAAGTTACTATACCCCTCTCAGCTGAAGGAACGGATTCTTACTAAACTACCTATTTAAACTTCATGGTTTGCCAGCCAGACTTATTTCTGACCAAGGTTCAGAATGGCTCCCCCATTTCTGGTATGAGCTTTTTTGCCTCCTAAGATATACTTCATCACTCATAAATTCATCAACTCTGCTCATCACCCATAAATCAATAGCCAAATGGAATGAGTTAACCAAATCCTGGAATGGTATCTTTGCTAATTTACAAATCATCACTGAGATGACCACTGAGATATCCTTCCTGCTCACACATATACTAGCTATTGCCTCTCTCTATTTTGCCATGGTTGGTAACTGCAGTGCCATCCTTTCCTGCCTAGTACCTCCTGTGTCCCTGCAGTCACATCTGTGAAAAACAGTAAACCATCTCCAATGAACCCATGCTACACAGACACACTATGCCAACCAAAACCACCATGGTAATTAAGGAATGGAGACAGAGTTGGGGGCATATTCTTTGATACCCTAAAAATACTGTACAAAGGGAAGCAAAGAGTTAATGACCACAATCAACATTACTCTCCAGAAAATTACAGGTCAGTCCAGGAGCATGAATGGCATAATTAATGTGTGAGCGGTTTAGATGCTTCTAGCCTCAAAAGTGAAGTTTCCTCCTCCTTTTGTCAACTAATGCAATTTTGTCTAAATTTAGAGCATGATACTGTATCGATGCAATTAACTTTATTAATTGAGAACTCAGTGAGATTATACAAGCTAAGTTACTCTCCTATATGTGCATTTGCTGGACGGGGCATTTTTACATCCGCATCTTAAAAGAAGGTAAGACCTGACGATCAAGAGTAAACTGCCTCCTGTAATACATTTTGGCAAGCTGAATCTTGTTGTTCAGGCTCACATTCATGCATTAATCAATCCTGCAAATACATGCAAGTAAGTACCTAAACTTTCATAATTAAGACTCCTCTAAGATTATGCGTCTTTTCTTGCTCATGTTCAATGAAATAGATGGGACAGGACTGCAAACTTCTATTTCAATTTTTAATAAAATGGTTTGTTGGCTGAAAGGGATGATGGTATGTAGGAAATCACTAAACAGCGGTTTGATTTTCTCTCTCTCCTTGAGGTATTTCTACTTCAACAGCCTCCAATAAAATGGAAATATACAAGTTATCTGGAAATCCATAAAAACAGTGTTTGTGATAGGGAAGAGGGAACAAAGAGAAAACTAGCACTATTCCCAAGACGGTTTGTTCATTAAAGAGCTGCAAGAATTAAGCCTGAAGGCACAAAACCTTAAAGGCACACAAACATTGGAGAGCAGCAGCTGCAATATTTATCTTTCACCCCTCTCCATCTCTAGCCTTTCTAGGTATAAAGCACCAAAGACTGGGATTTTATTGGAGCACATGAAGTAGCACCTAGCTCAGGGGTAAGCAAAATACAGCCTGCGGGCCAGATCCGGCCCAACAACAGATTCAATATGTCCAACACATGGACAGCCACCAAGCAACTGTATATGGCTTGTGGGTAGCTATGTATATGTTTTGGGGGTAGCCAGCAGCTCCAGCCACCATGTGGTACTGGGTGGGTGGGTGGCACTGCTTCTGTCCAACAGCATCAGGCATCAGCTGTGGACCTAAGCAGGGCTTCTACTGCACTGGGCAGGCAGCAGCAGCAGCTGTGACACCACTGGCAGATTCTGCATCAGGGCTCTGGAACCTGCTGGCTGTGCCCACAACTGATGCTGCTGCCTGCCCAGCTTGCAGCAGCTCCTTCCTGGGTCCACTGCTGACGCTGCAGGTTCCAGATCAGGGCTCTGCACGGGAGCTTTCACCCTGCTGGGAAGTCAGTGGCATCAGCTATGGATGCTGCTGGCAGGTTCTGCATCCAGGCTCCTGAACATTGGAGCATCCACATCCAATCCACATCCAATGCCCGCCTGCTGCAGTGAACTACAGCTCTGGCAGGTTCCGGAAGGAGGGGGAACAGGAGGAGAAGGGGGATGGGGAGAGAGACAGAGAGGAGAGGAGAGCAGAGGAGAAAAGAGGAGACAGAGGAGAAAGAAAAAAGGGAGACAGAGGAAAAAAAGGGGGAGAGATGGATGTGGCCCTCAACAGGTCCCCAAAACTCATTAAGTGTCCTCCAGCTGAAATAACTGCCCACCTCTGACCTAGCCACACCATTAGTTTGGTGATTGAGAGGGGACATACAAAGACTCCAAATGTTTATTCTCTATTAAAAATACAAGAATAGGAGGCAGCAGGGATTAATAAATATAGCATCAATGCCACTGCCAAAAAACAACAGGAGCAGCAGCATGCCCCAGCTACCCAGCTGTAACTGTTTAGCGGCAGACTCATTAGGGTGCCATGGCCATGTGCCCTGGGGCTTGGGTTGGGGTTGACTCTAGGGCTGTAGTAATGTTCCAACACCAAGTACCTCCTCGTGTGACTTCTCCAACAGAGAGACATTGATGCCTTCGGGGGCAAACTCCCGCAGCGGCAGCAGCTGGGTAAGTGCTGTTGGCAAAGAATACATAACGTTCTGATGCTATTTAGGATGTTTGCTTCATTTTCTTGTCTAATGTCTCTTTCCC